CAAAAATCAACTAGAAACTTTACCAATAGTAGTAACAACACAAACGTTAGTTCCATCTGTTAGCAATACTGCAAGATAATTTACGACCCTATATTTCATACATTTTCACAACTCTACTTGTGTTATTCACAAGGTTTTTTGCTTAATTGGACAAACAAGTACTAAATCTCATAATAGCTACGTGAATGAGATACTTGTAGTTTTGAGGAGATATAACTGGCTGGCTCCTTTGTTAGGAAACTAGCTACTCTTCTTTCTATACATCTATGTGTTCAAACGAAGTGTTACATTTTGTAAACAAATGTTGCGAGGTTGTTAAAATCTATATCTATACTATCATAAAGCGTAAACACTCAACTTCGTGACGCTAGATGTCAGCAAACACAGTATGTTTTTGAATAATTCATTCGTTGATTGAAAAACCGTACACATACGACATGCTTAAGGCTATATATTTTCAACCTATTAAATTTAGGAGTAAGTAAATTGAAGAAACCTTCATGTGGGAAAGTGACCATATACTACAAGCTGTCAACAATAAGGAAGTAAGGTTTGACATGCAATTGAGAATTTGACAAATGTAAACAACAAAATAAAGTTTTTATAATTTCATGTGGATGAAGCCGCACGGGAACAGCTAGTGTTATAAAATATGTTTCTATTAACATTATTTAAATACACTGTTTTATACTTTTAAAGAATACGAGAAGGATATCTTCGTCTTTGTCTTAAGTCTTTGCAGACTGGTCGTGGGTATCACGTATCAGGTATCAGTGACCACTGTACGCTACTTTTTTCGCACACTGATGCAAGGGTACGTCCATAGCCGTTCTAATCTGGTCAGTCCATCTCTTAGGCGATCTTCCCCTAGGTCTGGTGGATGGATATATCAAAGTATATTTCGGTGTGAATATTACTTCGTTTGACATAACACCAACTTATTTAATTATTCAACTAAACTATTTAACCAAATTATTGAAATTTTTTATCGGAACGAATAATGTGCATTGTTGTATTTAAACAAACAAAGTAATAAAATAATGTTTAAAAAACTACTTCAACTAAAACACTTCAGTAAGTTTAAACTTAGCAAGGATCGGATGTTTTTCATTTCAACCCCTTTGATAACTTAAACTTAATTGCAACACTAGAAAGTTTTATGAAAAAACTTTTTCGTTGGTTGGTTTACATTTTTTTCAAGTGGTCGTTTGAAGATCGCGGCGGAGGGTTTTTAACTTAACGAAGGAAGAGTTCAAGTCTACTTTACTTCCGACTTGTGCTTTATAATGTGTTTCTTGGTAAAATATAAGTTTGAGCGTTTACTTAAGAATTACTTAGCAATGTGAGGTTTGAAATTAGAGAATAGTTAAATCTTCATTTAGAAAAAAGGGTCTTTTAAAAAAAATAATGCAATAAAAAATTTACAGACTTTTAAAAGGTTAAATTGGTAAAATAGAACCTTACTTAAACTTAGTGTTCACATGTTTACTTAAATTTTCTTCGATATGTACAGATTGCATCACGATGTTTTCTTTCATCGTAAGAATGTCGGACAAAAGTACATTTGAAATTCGATAAACACATTGAAATTTTAAACCTTCAATGATATGAATTTTAACCTTGGACCTACAACAAATCGAGTGCTTAAGTACATGATGGACGTAAATTCTTTATAAGACGAGCTGTCGCCCGCAAAATTCCTTAGCACAGAACATTCCCGTGTGCGTCAAAATTTTTTAACAGCTATCTTAAAGTCAAAGTCCTGTCTAAATCAGTCCACCAGTTCCAGAAATAGCGGACCGGTCGCCATTTTGACAGAGTTTAAATAAGTGTAGCCTATAATACAATATGCCCGTCCATATCAGCTACCCTCCAGTGAAAGCCACGTTAAAAGCAGTCCAGCCGTTTCGAAGATTACCTGGAAAAAACGCGGCTTGCAGATAGACACACTGACAGACAGACAAAAAAATAATTCGATTTTCGTTATCAGCAACGCAAATACATCATCTTCCAGAAATTTGGATTTTTTTTTTATATTAGTAACAGACACTCCAATTTTATTGCATGTATAGAAGACTACCTTTCGCCCGCGACACCGTCAGCGTGATTACAAAAATCAAAAGTGAGTAGCCTATGTGTTCCAGACTATCATCTACATCTCTCTCTAATTTCATCGAAATCCATTCAGCCCTTTAGGCCACAAACTCTAACAAACATCCATCCATCTAAACTTTCGCATTTATAATATTAGTATGATATATAGATATATGTAAGTTAAACACGACACATATATGTCTGTTAGTTAACAGTTTGCTACAGAAGCTATCAGGGCACGAAGCGAGCCGTGAGATTGGTACGCGGAGTGAACTTAATGACTTCCATACTTACCATATTAGTTCCATCCGTGCATACGAGAGTTGACTAAGCGTATATTACTTGAAAATATTAATATGAACTAAAATATATCAGTATAACCTTATCACGAAATGTTAATTAAAAATCTTACTGATATAAATGCGAAAGTTTAGATAGATAGATGTTTGAGTTTGTAGCCTAAACTGCTGAACGGATCTCGATGAAATTTGTCATAGACGTAATGAATAGTGGAAGAACCAGCTATTTTGTTTTTTTAGCATACTAGCTATCGCTTGCGACTTCGCCCGGGTGAAATTAAAAAATAATTTCAAATACAGCCTAATAACGAAGCTTTAATGGTGCAAGAATTTAGTAATCGAGCCGGTAGTTTTTGAATTATTTTAATACGTACAAAAATACAAATATTTCCTCTTTATAATATTTGTATAGATATAAATTAGTATAAAAATATAGATTGTGAGATAAATTTGTATATATTCTTTTGTATGTGTTGAAATAAAATTATATGTTGCCGACATTATACGGCGATGTATCATTCCGGCCGCGTGTAGTGGACATTAAAAGGGTCCGGTGATAGATGGTGCCCCAAAAACGTCATTAAACCTTTTAATGTGCCTGTCACATAAATATAACATCCTGTATACAGTTTAGATACATATGTAACGTTTTATCACGTTTAAATGGCTTTGTGAATAGTAAACTAAGATTCCAAAGAACATTGAATACTGGTGAAAGAACATCTTAGTTTATTCAAATAAAATGAAAGGAATAACAGTATTATTTTAAAATAGTGTTCCGGCAATGGAAACCGACATTTAGGGCCTATCCCACCACTGGCTGATAGACATTCAGATAGCTTAAAACTGACGTCTCTGTCAGATAAGGTTACAAAATCCGATGTTTCCATCACATATTTTACACGTTGGATTTTTATATAGACAATACACAAATTGGTGGGACAGGCTCTTCGAATAAAAGGAGAAAACTGTAAAATGTCAATTACCTTATTTCAGGCTGTAATAGTCAAAATTTTATCTGTTACGGAGATTATCCGAAAACAACGCGGCTTGCAAAAAAAACCGAATAAGGTAAAGTTACAGTTAACAGCTAGTGTATTCCTTTAAATTGCAAGCAGAAAATATATACAATATATATACGTACATACAGAAAATAAATACAAGATATCTGTGTATATTATATACAAATATAATATATAGAGATATCTTTAAATTTAACCTCAAAAGTTCTGTACAAAACAAACATTGTCTAAATCAGGCCCTGTAATTGACATCATTCCAACTTGAGCGAGTATATTCATGAGGTTTGCGATAATCAAAGTTAAAGCGATCACAAGTTTCGCTATTAAAATACGCACAGGGTTTTGGAAAGGTTCGACAAATTACAAGCGATTTTACTCTTTTATACTATTACTGTACGAATTTTAATTATTTTACTAATATTATAAATGCGAAAATTTAGATGGATGGATGTTTGTTAGAGTATGTAGCCTGAACGGCTGAAGGGATCTCGATGAAATTTGGCATAGATGTAGAGGATAGTCTGGAAGAACACATAGGCTAGTGGCTTTTTTTTTAATTACGCGCGTACGAAGTCACTGGTAAAGCTAGTTGAGTAGCTTTCGCCCGCGGCTCTGTTCATGTGGAACCAAAACAACTAAACTAGCCTATGTGTTCTTCCAGACTATCCTCTACATCTATTCTAAATTTCATCGAAACCCGTTCAGTCGTTTAGGCTACAAACTCTAACAATCGGTCACTAAGTATCCATCCATCCATTCAAGTATTTTTTTCTTGTCAATGATTCGGGGTACTGAGATAAGAATGTAGACAAAAGAACTGACTACCTTAGTATAAATAATAACAGCGATTTTTGTTATATTATATATTACATTTATATTAGAGTTAGCTAATTTAAATAACCTTACTTTATTCTTCAATGTAGAGCACATAAAGTTTTCTTTATGTGCTTAATGTTTTTACATTGAAAAATAACAATATCAAAACAAAAAGAATTTATTGTTTGAATATTAAGCCGTTATAAAATAAAAATACTGTCTCTTAATCTACGTGAACCGGCCAAGCTAGGCGCGAAATCAGATAAAGTGCTACAGATTATGTAAATTCGTGCGAACATTGTTGCGGCTTTAAATTTAAATTCTCCAAATCTGTGCCGTTAAATTCATATCAACTTTAAGAAAACATTTTAATATTTATAACAACTAGCTCAGTACGCGAGGAATTAAAAAAAAAACAAAAGTGAGTAGCCTATGTGTTCTTCCAGACTATCCTCTACATCTATGCTAAGCTTCAAGGAGATCCGTTCAGCCGTTTAGGCTACAAACTCTAAACAAGCATCTATCCATCTAAACTATCGCATTTATAATGTTTAGTATTAAGTATGATGATTGTCTAAAGAGGATATAAGGAAATAAATTGCTCAATGCTGATCCTGAACACCTTAAAAGTTAGAAGAAAGTCGTAGTTATAGATTAAAAAATTTAATCGTGCATAATTCATCAATCAAAGACCTAAAAGGTAATAGACATTAGCAGACTAAAGGTATTTTAAAGTAGCTTGGGAATGAAAGTAAGAAAAACTAAAATGTAACTACATATCTATTTATTTACTAAGAATACTAAAATAAGTTACACTAAGATATTAACAAAGTTTAGAAGAATCTAGTGAAGGAAAGTCCACCACTGGGCTCCCATCTGCTGCTAGGCATGTAAGGGGAGACGGACTTGCTCCAGCCAGCGTTCAGATCCAGAGAGGAGGTGCGGTCTTTGAACAGATTCAGGTTGCCCATTGCTGAGTAGTCGGTCTTCTTGAACAGGTCCGTATGCGCTGCGCCCAAGGATGCTCCGATCTTGTCACTGAAATAATATATTATTATAAGCAAATATACAAATAAGGGAATTTCAAAGTCTACTACGGCGAAGGAACTGGCTTGATAAATTTGAGAAACATAACATGTCAGGGTTCTATTATGGTAAGGTATTTCAGATCAGCTCAACTAATAGATGCAATAATTTTTTAGATGTATTAGATTAATATGAATTTTAACATTAATATGAATTAAACACTCACTTGAATGTGTATCCAACTTTGCCGCCATATTTATCGAAGGTGGGGATGTTGGGATTGTCAGGGAAGGTCCTCGTGGCGAAGGCACTCGCGGTGAGGTCATGATGATCGTTGTGGAAGATATTAGCTTTGCCGGTAGCGGTCAGCTGGTCGGCAAGACCGGGGATGCGGCTCCCAGTTAAAGTTGCTCCATGGCCCTTGCTATAAAAATATACATCTTCAGTCACGGTCGTCAATAATCATTAAAATCTGCTTATTTGTAATATCTATAATGTAATTTTGTCAGTGCACTGCCCCTTTTAACATGCGCTGATAAAAATACTCTAAAGTATTACATTAAGTTACTTGTGTGCTAATTGCTTGAGTTTCTAAATTATCTACATAAGTAGTTGTATCAATAAGTTAAGAGTCTACTTACATATTGTCCCAAGCCAAGCCAGCACCAGCTGAGCCGAATCCTCCCTTGCCGTCAGCGGCGTTAACTGAACCGATGGCACTTAATATATTACTGTCACCTCTTGCTATTGGTATCTTTGCTGCGACGTTAGAACTTCCATCAAGGTTGGAACTCAAACTGCCATGTACTTGCCTTCTTACTCTTATTGGATGTAACTCTTCAACTTCATTTGCATCAGGTTCGTCTTCTAAAGCAAATATTCTGATACTATCATCATCTTCAATGACGAGATATGGTCTTTGCTCTTCGCTTATGTATCTACAGCTGACGCTGATTATTAAAATCGCAAAGACGAATATCTTTGGTGTGAACATTTTTAATTTACTGCTTCACAGCTTAGAACTGTATGACTCGAAGTGCAGTAAGCAACTGATAATCTAACCAACAAAGCGTAGCATATTTATACATATCTACGCCAACACGTGTTCTTCCCCGTTGTTCCTTTGACATTGACGTGAAATAAAATCTACTAGAAGTGACTTCTTCGAATTAAAATTATTATTTATATAAATTGCAATTAAAAGACTAATAGCATTCTGTGCAATAAATTGGTAGGCAAAAATGTTGGTTTTCCCAAAATATTTATTTTTTTAACTGTCGATAACGGAACTAAGTAAATTTAAGTAATTAATGTTAAGGATAATCTTAGTTAGATTTGCTAATGTCCTTAATCGATTCTTAGATTTAATTAGTTACTATATATATACTATACTATAATATTTTCCTTAAACGATTTTTTTATGCTAAAACTTATTTCACTTAGTATTACAACAAGTTTTCTATCTCATAATTTAATGTAAAACCTAGAAAATGCTATTTTATTACTTCATTTAAAAAACTAGATCTTAGTTTTTTAAGAAGAATGCAAGTGACATTTTTATTAGTCCCCTACCCTTCCCTGAGTTTAATTCCTACAGATAGCTCAAAAACTACATGTAAATTAAAAATAAACATCGGCCAGTGACGGTTGTAATTTTTATTTTGATGTCGTTTCCAGATCAGAGATGTTCAATGTGACATAGAGGAATCCCCGAGTCGCACGAGATGTAAACACAGAGTTTATCGTATTGTACTTTTGTTTGTTTACATCCACGTTCTTTACTCTTAAATAATAACGATAACGTATATTTCCTCAAACGTTCAAACTAAATATAAAATTGAATAGCATAATGGTATTATTGTTTATTATTGGATGCATAATAAGAGGTATTCATAATTCACTATACATAAATAATTAAAAGTTTTTAGCTACAATTGATATCGGAAATTCAATTTTATATTGTTCTTTATTTACCAACAAACTGCAGCACGCGACTTCGCCCGCTTGAAATTAAAAAAATCAAATAGCCTTTGTTACTCACAGATAACGTAGCTTTTTAATGGTGAAAAGTTTGAAATCGGCGCAGCAGTTTATGATTTATTTCAATACATACAAAAATACAAATCTTTCCTCTTTATAATATTAGTATAGATTGAATAGGACAGGGATCTCATGATCGGTATGGGATAAAAAAAAAACTACCAATAATTTCTTGGTTACATTTAATTGATCAGTAAAGAAGGGAACTGGATCCTTTTGATATTCATATCTTAGTGATATTCATAATGTAAATGTTTGTCTAAACATGTTGTTGGACTGATAAACGGATGGATGTTTTTTATCTACAGAACAACAGGATTTCGTTGAAATTTACTACAAAACTAGATTCTTATTTGGAAGAACATATAGACTAATTACTTAGTTTTTTTATCACCGGTAACTATATCGCGGGTAAAAGCTAAAATTAAAAATATTAATTTGTTAATTCTATACCGAATTTCCAAAAATTATTCCCATCTCTTTTATTTCCTTTTGAAAAAATAGAGAACGCATGTTTTAGTACAAATGTTTCAGTGGTATATCACAATTAGACACATAACATTGTAGCTCGCTACGTTAACATAGATACGAGCATTGATTTATGGAACAAATGTATTTATGACTAGCTGTTGCCCGGGACTTTGTCCACGGAATGTAAAGATAAAAAGCCTATCATATACCCGTCTATGTCAGCTACTTTCCAGTGAAAATACGGTCGAAATCAGCTCAGCCGTTTCGGAGATTACACGGAACAAACGCGGCTTGCGGACAGACAGACAGACAAAAAAATTAAATGAGTTTTTCGTCAGCAACGAAAATAAATCATCTTCCCGAAACCTGCATTTTTTTATATCACAAACAGACACTCCAATTTTATCATATGTATAGATAGACATAGAAGACACATAGATATATATACTCGTATGGATTTACATGTGTTTGTGTATATTTATCTTGAAACTGCATCCAGCGCCTAGCGGAGATTTATTGTTCATAGATTACAGTAAATCAAGGACCCATAAATCCATTTAATTCGTGCATATGGGCAAATATATCTCCGCTCTATAGGACAGTAATACATATGCCAGCAAAATGGTTTAGTAGCTGGAATGCCAGTTATTACTAGCAGGTACTAGCAATCAGTGTCACAAATCATTGTGATACCCTACTTGTCGACACAAATTAGAGTTCCATAATCAAATTGCATGTAACTAGAAGGACGATAGTTATGAATGTGGAGGTACACCGTTAGAAGTAGATCTAGAAAGAGATGGATAGATTGCGTGAAAGATGACATGACCAAGAAGGGATTGATGACTGAGATGACGGATGGTAGAGTTATTTGGAGGACGACCCTATTAATATTAGTCTAATATTAGTCACCTAAATACAGAAGTGTGTGTTTACACTAATATTATGTTTGCAATCACTGTATATTGTTGGATAATCCTTTTCTTAATAAATAACCTACACTTACCGAAGTCTTTAGGCCGATTATCACGCTATTTTATTGAGAGGGTGAATAAATTCAAAACAAAAACAAACATCATGTAGAAAAGGAACTACACAAATAGCGGTAAAAAATAATTTATGTAACTTTTAATAATTAATTAGTAAAATAGTTCTTATATTTATGAATTTACAATTCTGATTATTTACTTTCTTTTATTAATTACACCGAACTACACAGAAAACGTTAAAAGTATTTATGACGTCATAAAATACCGCATTTGCTCGTCAAAAATTACCTCTCCCGATTGAATTGGTCATATGCATCCTAGCGCGGTACTTTACCTACCGAGCGTACAAATTTAGAGGCGCATCGAATGTTAAGAAAATAATTACAGCACGAGGTCATTTACATATGTATCTTTGTCGTTTTCTTATCTCGGGGGATTTCTCTGCAACTCAAACGTAGCTTAGTTTTATCTGGAAGTGATTATACGGATAAATCAAAAAAAAATTTTTCATTACCATCGACGAGAATAAATACTATAATTCATCTTGTGTTTAATCGAAATAAAAAAAAATAAAAACTAAAAATGAATAACACCCTAATAATTTAAAAAAAAAAAGATGAAAATTGAGTTTAATCAAATCAAATAAATTTTAAACCTTAATAATTAAATTAATTAATGTAATAATTCGGGAACAGTTTTTTATTTTTATTTCAATTCTTAAGATAAATATGTTATCATAATAAATATTCTTTACTGCGATTGTTGGATGAAATAAAGCGAGCCACTTCCAGTTAAACTAAGAGTCATTCCGCGGTCAAAAGGTCATCGGGGAATTAAAACTACACGCTTGCGAACTATAAATATATCTCGCAATGTTTGTCCAATCATCAGTCAGAAGAAGTCTAACAAACAGCTACCAAGTTTCCAAAAAAACATTCATAAACATGTATTCACTAAAAGTATTCGTGATTGCTGCTATCATTATTGGGGCTACTGCTAGAAGTGTGCCCAAGGAAAGACTAGGATCCTATGTGCTCGTTGAAGAAGACGGTGATATGTTAGTATACGCTTTGGCAGAGGATTCTGAAGCTACAACAGAAGAAGTACATCCACAAAGAGTAAGAAGACAAGCACACGGTAGCCTTAGCTCTAACCCTGATGGAAGTTCTAACTTCGCTGCTAAGATACCAATAGCAAGAGGTGACAGCAATGTTTTAAGTGCTATCGGTTCAGTCAACGGAGCGAATGGCAAGGGAGGATTCGGCTCAGCTGGAGGCGGTTTGGCTTGGGACAATATGTAAGTACACTTCGTATCAGTAGATTTAGTTTATAAGTGTAATTCTAAATGCTTTAGGATTAATTACTGTTTCAACCAACAAATGTGAATCATAAAATGTAGGTAGTCCGATCATTAAAACTCAGAAGTATTTAATTAGCACCTTTATACTTTGTCGTTGTTACAAAGTAGTAAGAAATGAAAACTATAAATCGAATCTCACAAGCCTTTAAAATACTTACAGAAGCTGATTGTCAATGTGTCTATTGTTACAGTAAGGGCCATGGAGCAACGTTAACCGCGAGCCGTATCCCCGGCGTTGCAGACCAGCTGACCGCTGCCGGCAAAGCTAATCTATTCCACAACGACCACCACGATATCACCGCCAATGCCTTCGCCACAAGAACTTTCCCTGACAAACCCAACTTCCCCACCTTTGATACTTATGGCGGCAAAGTTGGATACACATTCAAGTGAGTATTTTAGAGTTCATATCAAACAGTTCATTGATTAACAACCAATAGCATCAATGGTTATATCTATTGGCTGTGGTGATCAGGGAAATGCCACATCTTCAAAGATCTTTATTGCATTAATGCTATCCTTTGTGTCACTAGTATTTATTAATCCGATTTCTCTTTACCTACTCTTCTTCTATTAAAAAAATATCTTTTTTTTTCTAATAATTATGTATTACTTCAGCGACAAAATTGGAGCTTCCCTGGGCGCGGCGCACACGGACCTGTTCAAGAAGACCGACTACTCGGCGATGGGCAACCTGAATCTGTTCAAAGACCGCACCTCTTCTCTGGATCTGAACGCGGGCTGGAGCAAATCTGTCTCCCCTTACTTGCCCAGTAGCAGATGGGAGCCCAGTGGCGGACTTTCCTTCACCAGATTCTTTTAAGATGTCCAATTTAGGTTAATTTAATTATTTATAATAAACATATTATACACTTCATTTATACCTTTCATTTATTTCTATATTACCATAATTTTAAGGAAAAAACTCAATTCTAACTCAGTGGAATTATTACTATTTCACTTTTGTCTTCTTGGCTTGTAGTAATTTAGCGGTCAAAGGAGATATTCTTGAAGCAGATACTAAAATATACGGATAGTTAAGTTTTATTCCTTATTGTAAACTATTTTTTAAATTTGTATAGCTACAACCTAATTCATTGCATATTCATTCACCTACGACACTCTAAGATTAAACAGTGGTAGAATCCTCTTTGACGTCATCGCGCTTCTTAAAACAGGTCTGAAGTGGATGCAATTCCACATTTCATCTAATTAGCGTGCGTGCCAGAGGCAAAGTACCTTTTCCTTCCCACCATTTTCTTATAAGGAAATTGGTTATAAAGGTAAACGAGACGCATAGGAAGGGGAAATATACGCATCTCTTCCTCCGTCGATTAAGAGCAGACAATGCACCTGAAATTACGAATGTTTGGCTGGCGGCCGCTTGGCCATTTGATGGATTGAGGCGGCCGCTGGTTGGTTTGCCACCATTATGATATAAAAAAATACGAATTTTGCGAACTGGAGGTCTATTTTAGTTCTCTTTCGATCCCGGCACTTTACTTATATAGAAATAATGGGTATGCGGATGTTTATAGTGTTCGCTTCACCATTTTGGCGTCTTCAGGTAAAGGCAGGCTTGTTTGCTTGCCGACTTATAGTATAAAAAAATAGATTTCATTGAAAAACTGATGATAATGGATTACATGCCCGCTAATAACCTTACCCTCCTGTCAGTCGGATAAAAATATACAAATAAGTCAGTGAATCTCAAGAATTCCGCCTTTTATAAATAAGGAATGACTAGCAATAAATAAAGCGGCCCATTCGATTGCCTAAAGAGTTTCCAAGTAATGAAACTGAATAATGCATGGGCGTAAACGTAACCTCGGGCCGTAGAGCCGCGCAACATTCCTACTAGCGCCATTTATAAACATATACTGACTACTGTATAATATTGTGTTCACGCAATTTTGCCCAATACCACGCAGGGTAGCTTACCCGTAATCTAAACATTCGTACCTTGATTATAGAGATACGGACTAGACATGTAGCGGCTGTTTAACAAATAAATTCGTTGGCGAAAGGTTAGGTAAAGATAGCACACAAGTGCTTAATTTTTGTAGTATTGTCCACTGTCCAAACATTCGCATTTGAGAATATGTTGCCTACCTATCTCAGACGGAGGAGACGCATAAAAAAGATGATATTTTCCTCCCTCCCCCTATATTTCTGCCTTTCCTTTCCGTAGAAGAAAAATACGGATACGGAAATAGATTAAATTTTTGACACGTAAAAAAATATGTTTAAAGTGTTTCAACTAGGTTTATTTGGAAAAATAAACACTTATACTTTTAGGCGGAATTTATTTATTTTTAATATCTACTTACAATGATACAGTAATAGTTACAAAAAAAATACAATGTAAATGCAAGCATATCAAAAACATAACTATAATGTTTATAGTTTTAGGGCCTGGACCACCACTGGCTGATAGACGCTCAGATAGCTAAAAAATGACGTCACTGTCAGATAAGGGAACAGAATTCGATAATACCATAATATTTTTTTTAACTTTAGATTGTTATCAGACAATTAAGAATTCAGTGGGACAAGCCTTTTTAGCTTTTTATTTCTATTACATTCTCGATAGCATTTTGATATTCTATCAAAAATGTTTCTTCTCAACAAACTGAGTTGCAACTTATTTTTTAAACCACTTGGTGAATGTAAGACCTCCACTCGGCTCCCATCTGCTACTTGGCATGTACGGTGACACGGATTTACTCCAACCCGCATTCAAATCCAAAGATGAAGTTTTGTCTCTAAACAAATTGAGATTGCCCATTGCTGAATAATCTGTTTTCTTGAAGAGATCTGTGTGCGCCGCTCCTAGCGATGCTCCTATTTTATTGCTGAAATTAAAAGGAAAAATACATATACTACAGGAAACTAAGATATAGGTAACGTGGCTTATATTGGGACGAGTCCTCTACTCAAGTATTTCTATTATTTAGTACCATAATCGTCTTCACATTTTTCACACAGAGGGTCAACAAGGTATGTTCTCTTCTCTACAACTCTATCAGCCATCATATCTGACTTCACTCCCTTTATAAAAACATCCTCTTACTCGTACATACATACATTTTCGATCTTTCTACATTTCTTTAGCCATCCCCTTTCATTCTTTTTTGTTTCAGGTTTTTAAGTACTTAATTCAAAATATTACAAGTTATTTAAGGCATATCAAACAGTATTTTAAATGCGTGTTTCATTGCCATCATCGTCAGCATTTATCTGCCCACTGCTGAAGATCGGCTAAATATATTAATAAAATGCAAGTGATTAATACATACTCGTATGTATATCCAACTTTCCCTCCATACTGATTGAAGTTGGGCATGATGGGATTGCTAGGGAAGTTTCTTGTAGCGAAGGCACTTGCAGTGACGTCATGTTTGTCGGTATGGAATAGGTTAGCTTTACCAGCTGCGGTCAGCTGGTTCCCGAAGCCAGGGATGTGCTGACCAGTCAAACTTGCACCGTGACCATTGCTGGAAAAATAAGAAAAATGCAATGCTTTTGTTATGCTACTTGTAATTTATCCCAGCCACACTCATCCTCAAAAAGGGCCACCGACCTATTCAAAAGAAGTTGGTGCCAGGAGGAGATTAAATACATAAATGCAGTTTTATAAATACTTCACTAATCAAGTTTCCTTGAAGTGCCCTCTTTATGAAGTAATATTGAATAGAATTTGACTAAACTATCGCACATCAGTTGTGCGATTGTCGATTGTTTCGTAGCCCATTGAAATCTTTAGTTGCACAACTAAGAATCGGGTAGAGTGTATACCTCCGTATAAGCTTATAGGAATCAAAGCGCGAATAAAATTTGTGCGATGGTTTAGTCAAAGGTTGACTTATAATCTACAAGTCCTGGATTTGAATTCCCGCCATGTACCAATTTGTAGGCTCTGAACCCCACTGTGGGGATATATAGTGAAGTGGTGATGATGATTAAATAGAATTATAAAAGTTGCTGATGACGGTGAATTATTTACCAGCTGTCAAAGAACAAAATGGAAATTATGTTTACACTCACACATTGTCCCAAGCCAGTCCACCACCAGCAGCTTTGTAGCCTCCATTCCCTGAAGCTCCAGCGATTGATCCAACAGCACTTAGAATATTTTTATCATTACCAGTTATAGGTACCTTAGCCGCAAAGTTTGAAGTACCATCAGCATCTGTGTTCATAGATCCTTGCACTTGACGACGCACTCTTGGTAAAAATTCCTCGAATATTTTTTCGAAGTACGTATTGGCTAAACCTTCATCGTCTTCGGTTTTGGGTACTTTGAATATCGAATTCACATCATTAGAACCATCTTTTATTATATACGTGTTTGGATATTCTTGATAAAGCATACAATTGACATATGCTACTAATATTAGTATTGCTAATGCTCGAAACATTTTTGATTATTTTACTTAAACAAACTTTAACTTCCAGACTAGTCTCACGGACTGATGTATTCGGAAATGATCCTTTACTTATATACCGATCGAATATTCCCCGATTCCTTACATTGATACCCGTAATGTTATACTAGAAGTGGCTTTCGAATTGGAATCATATGTATTTTTTTGGAACATTAAAATTTCAACTTTCATAGGTATTTGTATAAATTTTGATTCTGTTTTTAAATTTTCCATAGTTTTTCTATTGTAAAGTATTAATCGAGTTTAATTTGCCAATTTTTATTTTGTCAAAAGAGCTGGTTTTAATTTTAGATTAAAAATTACGGACACTTTTAGTAGCTCATATCATTGTATGGGCAGAAAGGAATCCCCGTTGATAAACTATCGCTGTGCATGGTCATAGGTCAAAGGAAGCTGATAAGATACAATTAAATGCAATTTGTACGTCATATAGTGATAGTAATCGTTAGTTGTTTTTTTTTGATGAGCAGAAACAAATAACTTAAAAAATGTTTTTAAAAATAAACTCACATAGTTATAAACTAAATTTTTAATGCCTTCGTCATGTGTCGAATACAAGAAACACTCACGTAACACTAAATCTCACGAGACTACTAAAGTGGGATCCTAAATTTCGTTTGTCATAAATAAACAAGCAAGGCTGGTCGTAAATTTCACTCCATAGTCTAAAATTCCTATCCCCTAGAGACGAAACTGATATTCTTAGAAAAGGATTTAATGAGCTCAGAATTTTATACATAGATTCGTTTTTATTATACAAACATTATTAATTGGGAAGGAAAGATGGATTTGGCAGAGGAGAGAGGACTTATTGTTAGGAGAAATGTCCTCTTTCTATGCGTCCCCAAAACTGTTGTGTGAAGGTAAACCTGAAATTGACAGAAAGATAATTTCAAGTTCGGGGTCAGATCAACTTTTTCCTTTAAGCTCACTGAAGCTTGTTACGTAAGTTCTGTTTTGACAGTTTGAACTGAATAGTCAAACTCTTCAGTTAAATCTGTGGTTGTGTAGACATTTTTAACTGTCAGTTATACTGTTAAGTTAATGTTTTGCATACGTACAGGTTAAACTGAACCGTTCGACTATTCAGATAAAACTGTGAGAGCTTTGCGCTTGGTGTTGGCTTCACATTTTCAAATTAAATGTTTTCTCACTTTTTGATATTTTCTTCTTTACAAAACAAATTTCGAATCCCAAAACTGTAATAATTCAAGTGAGTTTGTTTCCTTTGAATTATGAGGCAAGCTGTGCCAATTAAGGAGGGTTAGTGGAACGTAAATTTTTATTTTAGAGAAATTTTATTTTCCCATAGGAGTGAGGGAAAAGATTTATTACAATCATAGTATCGCGTTTTAGTTACTGTGGGCTTCCACTGTCAAAACACTAAAAGTTTTGGTTCACCTGTCATGGAAACCTTTAGCTAGTAAAGTTGTAACAAAAAAAGACTTAATACTTTTTGGTTTTTTTTTCTATTGCTTTAAAACTTTGAATTTAAACTTATACAATACGTTATAAAAATATATGAATTCCTTTAGTTGTGCAATTTATTACAATACAAGTATTATGAAAACAAAAAAAAATAGGATTTTTGTTGTCACAAAAAAGTACATAAGACATCTAATATAAAACAACCTTAGAGCTAGTAAAATAAAGTGGTAAAAAGTGGCAAGCTCAGCTAATGCAGGGACGGTGCAGGCCGTTACTGCACTGGTTTTCAGCTGGCCCCTCTACACACAACTATTGACACATAGGTAGGGTGACTTAACCTAGAGAGACGTTAAAAATGATAATAAATAATATATTTAGGTTATTATAGATTCCATGTTAAATCTATACTATTATAATAAAGCGTAAACACACACTTTGTTGCCTAAGATGTCAGCAATTACAGCATATTTTAGAATAATTCTTTCTTTAATAAAAAGCCCTACACTTACGTCACGCTTTAGGCTATATATTTTCACGCCATTAAACTTAAGGGGTAAATATTGCGGATAAAAACCCTAATGTGGGAAAGAGACCAGTTGCTGCCAACATCAAGAAAGCAAGATTGCCAAGTTTTGTCATGTCATGTCATTTTGACATTTGTAATTGACAATTTGACACATGTAAACAATAAAATAATTTTATGCTGATGAAATCGCACAGGAACAGCTAGTGTTGTACTAAACTTACTACCAGAACTATTACTTGAGTGTAATGTAAATAAGGAATTGTAATAAATGAATAAAAGACTACTCGATCGGTTGCCGGAGAGGTTTCAAGCAAATGAAAATGAATAATG